CCGTCCCCTTGTGTGTAATGAAGGTTTTTATGCATGTAAACGGTCTGCAGAGTCACAAACCCTCAAAGTAAACCCTGTAGCAAGTAAAACTCTAACACAGAAAATACCTGTCTATGCTGCCCCAGAACGCCTCGTCGGACATTTCGGGGCCATTCGGTGTGTGAGCACAGACACACATACTCCCAGCCAGGCTGCGGGGTTCGCTGTGTCGCGCAGACGGCCACTGGGCTCATAGGGAGGCGGGGCGGGGCGGGAGCAATACACACACTATACAGAGATGCTGTATGAGAAACCAATGTGAGTTTGGAACATTGCACAATGTAAATATATTCTAGTAGACCTCAACAATGGAGTTGCATTGTGGCTAGCGCTCCACAAAGTTAAGAAAGGTTCTCATTATTTAAAAATTCTAACTTGCTTTGAGAAACATAACTCATGACAATACATTTCTCATATATTAAAGTATTGTACTATTGGTTCAGAATCCTAATAAACAAAGCCAAAACAAGCAGCAAAAACATTATAGTTTTTCTGCCAAAGTAACTGAGCTACCGGTACTGAACCGGTTATTTCTGTAATGAATAAATGTCTTGTGTGTTCACTAGTTTGCGAGGATTCAGCTAGAGTTTACAAATGTAAAACTGCATTTCATGCCAAGACTGCAAGAACAGAGTCTCTTTAATAGCATTTAAGATGGTTCATCCTCAGACTTCATGTATTGATTTACTTTCAGATGCATCTGTTACTCCAGAGAAGCAAATGAGAAAGAGAAATAGGAAAAATAAGAACAAGTAGCCTCACATAATATAAAGTCAAATGTACCCTATAAAAGTGATTGCCTTTCATCATATTTTAAAATGAAATTAATCTTTTACCAGTGGGGGAAGAAGTAAGGAAATTAATTATTAAAGTTAAAGCAGTGATACCACAGAGTACAAATGCTGGCTCTTACGGAAACGACTAACTCCCCTTTTGTGTATGTACAGCTCTCAACATGCCCAGACCTGTAGTGATTTTCACCTCTTTTAATACTTTTCGCCTCATTCTGAAAGAAAGAGGTGAAATGTACCAACGTGACAGCCATCTTGGTGTTGGTGACGTGTGCAAGACCAGAGTTGTAGTTCATTGAGCGCTTCACACAAAGAAATGTGTAACTTCACAGTTTTACGACACATTTTAATTTTTTTGACTTGCAAAATTATCTTTTGAATTGACAAACATCATATGTGTAATTCGTGGCACAATTCAAACGGGATCGAAAGATAATCTTTCTCTCCCCATTGACTTCAATACATTATTTTTCCGATATAAGGTCCCATGGAAGTCCACCGGAAGGGGAGGGACTTCGCCACTCTATTAGATTCATGACCTCTATTTTAGTAACATTTACGCAATATGGCCAATAAAATCTTACGCCTTTTTTCTGTGAAATGTTTTCGTCATTTCAAACCAACATAATCTGGACCTTGTATCCTGTACCCTCTGGCTTCGAAAGAAATTGTACACTATATGCAATACTTTTTATTTTCTATATTTAGATACATTGTATTTGTGAGCTACTTAATTTCTAGACAATAAAACTTTCTTTTAAAAAATAAAACATCAAGATAAAATGATGAAGAGAAGTCTCAAAATAAAAAAAAGGTTTCCTAGTTTTTTCAAAACTTCAAACCCATTGATCTATTTCTCAAACTGGACATTTCATCCTCACCAGTTTGTATAGAAGCACAGCTGCTAGTGTATTTTAATATAAGAGCATTAAAATACACTAATTACACCTTAGAGCAAGGCAGTCACTTTTTGCCGTTGCGAAAAAGCTTCATATCCCTTTTTCAAAAACTATTTTAATATGCTAGAAGAACGCTGGACATAGTTATGCAAATAACAACTGCAGTTGAATTTAAAAAAAATCAAATTTTGAGGGAGTAACACAAAACCTGACATTTAATGCAGATTCTTTGCTGGAAACTTCTTTGTACATGTATTTGTGGCTGTATCACCACTATGGTCATAATAATGTAAGAAAAAGACAAAAAATGCATGTAACTGCTGTGTTAGGGTGGTGTTTTCCTCTCAGGATACTTTGCTGACGTCGACAGTAACCACAGCTGTTAATGCCATAATGTGAGCATGTTTATTATTAAGTTGAGGTCACCAGGAAAACATGGTCTGTCTGATCTGCTGATTATACACGCACAGCGCAGTCCCTGCCAAGCTGCCGCATGTCTGGTAGGGAGGAAGAGGGTTACATCAGTGTTTAAAGTGGTCGTTAGTCAGTGGGTTCGTCCATAAATACACACAGAAATTCAGATACACAGTTAGTAGGTCAGAGCTCCTCCATCATTTCTCCCCTGTCTGCTGCATTTGAGGTTTTCGGTCTGTGGCCTTCTTTGTCCTGCCTTTTTTACCCTCCTTTTCCTTCCTCCTGTGTGTTGACTGAATCCCGTCTCACGCCTTCCATTTGTTGTCCTGCACTGGAAACTGCTATGAGGATGAAGCTCGTCATGGTTGAATTCACTCTGGGTGTCTTGGTCACGCTCTGTCACCCGCAAATCAGATATACTATCTCGACTTCTTGTATGTTATACTGAAGCCAAGCAAATACATCTGACATGCTGTTATAGTGCCCTCATCAGGGCTATTAGTGTAAAAGTAGCTGAATTTGTTTTTAAAGTTAGTTAGACATTAGTCATTGCTATTGATATTGACTTATCAGATGTTTACTTATAAATCCATTTTGTTCATTTTATTTTTATTTTTAACTGAATGTTTTATTTTTGATGAAATGGGATGTTAGTGTAGATTGGTATACGTTTTCTACTTCTACGTCGAGCACATAAAGCTTAACCAACCAACTGTGTTCAAATTAATATTATTTAACACCCTTTATTATTTAAGATATTATTCAAATATTGTATGAAATTAAACTTTCGGTTTTTAGATCGGAATGGTTAAGTTTGCATTTGTATCTGAACTATTTCCATCAATTATTTTTCATTTTTGTAAAAATAAATTCAACAATCTATCCATGATTTTTAAATAATCATTTGCACTATTTAAATAAAACTTTCAAGCAAACATTTGAACCATTTATTCATTACTTTTAGCTAATTGATCCCACCACGTGTCCATTTCTTCAACTGTTTTAGATTTCAATTGTTTATCCATGACTCAAAATCAGCGTTAACATGTATCCATTGCTCTTAGCTCCCTATTGTAAATAACCTCTATTAACCAACTGCTTAGGCTTCTCTGCTTATTATCGCCAGGTGTTGCAACTGACTTAATATGTACATATATTTGTTCAAAATGAGTTGAGCTATTCCATATTCTTCCCATGTGCCCCCTTGCAAATGCAGAAGTGCCCCCTTGGGTAAGAGCACCTCTGTTTGAGAATCACTGAACTGCAGTAAAGTTAGCTTTGGAGGGGGATTGCAGGTGAAAGTGTATGTGCACAACTAAGCACATTATCTGCAGATGCCCTTTCCCCCTCTCCACTCTCACAGTGTCTCTTTCCTCTGAGGGGAAATGGTTTCAAAGAGATCACCTCAACTGTGAAAGGCACTGACTCAGCATCACTACGTGTGTGTGTGTGTGTGTGTGTGTGTGTGTGNCAGCATAAACTGAGAGCTCCCAGACAGGTCTACTATTTTCCCCTAAAATAACTGTAGAAGGGAAGAGGCAAAACACCCCGGAATCCTGAAAAAACTGTTAAACAGTTTTTTCAGGATTCCGGGGTGTTTTGCCTCTTCCCTTCTACAGTTATTTTAGGGGAAAATAGTAGACCTGTCTGGGAGCTCTCAGTTTATGCTGCCGCTCGCCTTGTTGCCATACCGGAACGCCAGTTTTTGTGTTTTTTAAACATTGTAAGCCGTTCAAATTCGGAAAGTGGAAATAAAGGGAATATGCAATGTTGTTATATTGTGTCCGAGGATATGACCAACACTTTTAAAAGTTAGGCCTAAGGTTTTTTATAGAGTGGCGAAGTCCCTCCCTTTCCGGTGGACCTCCATGGGACCTTATATCGGAAAAATAATGTATTGAAGTCAATGGGGAGAGAAAGATTATCTTTCGATCCCGTTTGAATTGTGCCACGAATTACACATATGATGTTTGTCAATTCAAAAGATAATTTTGCAAGTCAAAAAAATTAAAATGTGTCGTAAAACTGTGAAGTTACACATTTCTTTGTGTGAAGCGCTCAATGAACTACAACTCTGGTCTTGCACACGTCACCAACACCAAGATGGCCGTCACGTTGGTACATTTCACCTCTTTCTTTCAGAATGAGGCGAAAAGTATTAAAAGAGGTGAAAATCACTACAGGTCTGGGCATGTTGAGAGCTGTACATACGAAAAAGGGGAGTTAGTCGGTTCCGTAAGAGCCAGCATGCGGGACCGGCTTTACAAGGTTTCGGTGAGTAACACGAGTGTAATGTGTAACGTTAATGTCAGCTAGCTAACATTAGCTAACACTCTCGTGTTTTGTTTTAGTTGCTCTTCGAGAACGAGCAAGAGGTACTATTACTGGTATGATAACAACCTGGTACAAAGCACACAGGCATCTTGTTAAAGTAAGTAAGTACATTAAGTAAATGTATTTTTAGCTATCTGGAGGGAATACATCAGTTATGACAGCACTTACGAGAATCTGGGATTTGTAGTCTTTCTAGTTGCGTATTTTTCATAGTCTTATATTTCAACAGTTTTAAGACAAACTTTGAATTTTTTGACATGGAAATGATTTTTTAAGATTGACAAACAACATATGTGTAATTCATGGCACAATTCAAACGGGATCAAAATTTAAGTTTTCTCTCTCCATTGACTTCAATGTATTATTTTTTCGGAATAAGGTCCCATGATGCGGAAGTAAGTGGGCGTGACTTCGCCACTCTATGGGAGCATACCCAAAATTGCGTTATTATTTGACTGAGTTCTGGTGGTGTGAGATCTGTGGCAATGTAACTGGGAGGAAGGCAAATATTACACCTGCTGTTTTTCTCTTATATATTTGAATGTGCTTAGCTGGCCAATGCTTCATTTCCCATGTTTTTATAGCCTTCTTGCAATAGCTATGGCTTTCCAACCATTTTTGGTTTTGTGTAATATTAATATAATTCCAGAGAAATCTGTGAAACCTTTAGATGACTTTAGATGTAGAAAGAAACTCAACTAATTCAACAACGCATATCTTTCTTATCTCAGACACACACCCCCTCCTTTCAGATTGCATCATCAAAAAATGCTGCTTATCTCTTCTTCATCTTTGACATTTCTCTCTCTCACACGCACACAAACAAACGCACACAAACAAACGCAGCCTGTCGTACCTTCCCCTGCTGCGCTGTGGCCTCTAGCAGCCTCTGCTCCCACTGAGCTCTCTCCTGGCTCAGCCTCTCCAGCAGCTCCAGCTTCTCTCTGCCCCAGTTCCTCTCCCCGAGCTGAAGCTGTAGGTCCGCAGGTGGGTCACAGCAGATAGACAAGCATTAGAGGAGACAATAACATGGATGTGGAGCGCAAACCACCAGAATATGAATTTAAACAGTACAATGATGTCAAGTAAATCATTAAACATGGGTCTTTCAAGTTTTTTAAGCTTGAAGTTTAACAGAGGTAGATTAACAATTAGTGTGAAATTCTTGATCTACCTATTTATACCACTTATGCCCTTATGTTTGTTTAGTTTGAGAAAAAAAGCCTGTTGCCTTCCAACCCCACACACACTAACCTGCTTGGTTAGGTCCATCACAGCTGCGTAGGAGTCGGCCAGGAGGTGCTGGTGCTCTTCACGCTCCCTCTTCAGCGCCAACTTCAGGTCTGGAGGATCTGGAGCATCTGTGACGGACAGAGCCTTGCCTGCTTTGGTCTCAAGCTGAAGAGGAAAGAGTAAACATGGTAAATATAAAATCCCATACATTTTCACTTCCATTTTTAGTATGTGGAGTCTGTAAATTGATATATATTTTTCTTTCAGCAAAATTAAAACTATTTTTAACTAGATAATAATAATACGTTTATTTATTATAGCACCTTTCACAGAAATAGATTTCACAAATTGCTTCACAAGTACAAAGTGAAATGAAGACCACAGAAACATGAATACAATAACCAGATGGGGCATACATTTAAGGTCAACCTAAAAGCAAAACACAGACCACGTGGTTTCCTGAAATAACAGCTTTTAGTTAAAATAAAACACAGAAACACTCACTCACAGAAATAATTGCTATTTGTCATGAATACAACTCTCCCCTCCTCTCCATAAATCTTGCCCTGCTGTCACAGACTCTGTAGGTGGGACCGCTTAATATTTTTATGAGCAGCTCTTTTTTGCCTTATTCCTCCATCTGATCTTGATAGTTCACACAGCCCACACAACCAGGCCCATCCATTTTACTAACAGACACACTCATACACACACAAACATACACACACACCCGACCCATCAATCCTCCCTCTCAGTCTGGCTCTGTGGCGGTGGCGTCCGTATGTAGTGAAGGAACGCTAGGATATGCTAATGGCACTGTCTGGCAGTCAATCTCAGGGTAACAGACGCACACACTCCAAACCCCCGTTTCCTATGGCAACAGAGCGTTGTTCGTTAGTGATGAACGTGACTTAACGAGCCCAATGTCTTAACGAGGTTCACTGCTGAGGCGGTAAGAGGGAGGCTTTTATTGGTGGATGAGACGTCTGGTTCATGACTCACAACTCAGTTATTAAGTTCAATCACTTCTATTTAAACGAGTAAAGCCATGAATATAAAAGCATGGATTTATGAATTATGTTTTACTTGAATAATCACAAAAGGGACTTCTGGGCATGGTTAGTAAGTATAACAAAGACAAAGAGGCATTGACAAAAAAAGAGACAACAAACTTGACTCTTTCTCTGTGGGAGGTCGAAAGATATAAGTACATTTTAGTGGACAAAAACAAAGACTGTCACTGTTTTGTAGAACACTTCTTTGTCAATCAATACACAATAATGACAGAAATCTGATTTGATGTTTACCTGCTTGAGGTGCTTAGCTACAGTATGGCACCATAATAACAAACAACTAAATAAATAATGTGTAACATAATATAAAATTATAAGGATGTTGTACGAGAATGTTTTTTTATACAGAAGCTAAAAAGGACCGTCAAGCCCTAAATATGTATGTGCTAGCGCTTTTAAAAGTGATTAAGTGCTTTTCTCTCCACAATAAATTTATTTAACTTTGTTAACATATGATTAAAAAAATCTAAAAACAATCAGTGTGTTTCGTTGGTTTTGAAATAGTCACAAACCAAAGTCAGAGAGTTACTGCAGAGGCAAAAGTAGTTGTTCTTTGAAACAATTACACTGGTTAGTGTCAGTGTTTAACTCCTGGGCTGCCCTTAAGCAAGGCACCGAACCCCCAACTGCATGTGTTGACCTATACCTGTATTCCAATGCATGTTTGTATTTAATCGGTACTGTGTGTGTATTCAACAAATTCTATAAACAGAGGGGTCAACTGAACTTCCCGTAGGCCCCAATACATCTTCATCCTAATCATGCGGCCCCCCCACAGGGCCTTAATGTACTGTATGTGCTATTTTGGTCAGAATAGTATTTGCCTGCTGCAGATATTTACAACAAGACACAAAAAAAGTAGTTGATCTTATCTGTTTGTGTTAGCAGTTCTCCATACCAATCAGCTGTTTATCTGAAGCAGTAACCAAAACAATCCTGAGGGACAACATGTGTGCCAGTTTATAAATAAAAACAGCTTAGATATTACATAATGCATCCAGAGGTTAAATATAGCAAAGCTTACTGTGTTTCATGCTGTGTGTATTTAAAGCTGAAGTTCTGATTTCATGTTTTAATGTGCAATGAAGAAGGAAGATGATGAACCAGATTAACAGCTGGAAAAACATATGTTGGCCGAATTATTAAACTGGTTTATCACGAAAAATGCTGTGTCACTGTCATGGATGCAATGTTGGGTTGTTGGCTGTATGGTCATTGAATCTAGATTATTATAGGCAAATAACATTTGTTTTGCATTATAAATAATTAAATAACATAACACATTTGCCATTCATACGTTTGGTAATAAAATGTATATAGTTCAAAAAGTTTTGATCATTCAAAAGAAATTCAACAATTTGATTTCTATTATTTCTGCTATTTTCTTGATTATTATTAAATAATAATTGACACTGACATAGTTACACTCATGCCAATAAAGTATATTAAAGCATAAAGGCAGCCCATCAGAACAAATGAGTTTATGTAGAAGACAAAAATAATGTCTGATCTTTCATGTATGATCAGACATTGATGTATGTTTAATTGCACATCTGTGTTGTCTGGAAAGCCAAATCAAATATTTTGTTCCCTGCCCCCTTTATTCTCCTTCTCCCTCCCTCAATGAAGTGATTCAACAGATTTGATGAGTGAGCGCTCTGAGTGTCCAGCTGCTCATGACAGGTGTTCATAACATGACCTACACTCAGGATGGATGACTGATTAAGAGGGGAAAAACGAGGCGGTGTTGTACTGCATGCTTTTCAGGGCTCTGGATATCGTTTTACTTCACGGACGGTGTTTGTTTATCAGGCTGAACGGCGGAGATAATTTCCCATCAGCCGTCTGACAGGTAGGACAGTGTTTGAAATTGAGTTGACTTGTTCAACAAAGCAACAGCTGGAGGAGCCGCCGCAGGCTGTCAGGATGCTTTGGAACTGCTGTGGGCTGGTGAACACACAGACACACGCACGCACGCACGCACGCACGCACGCACGCACGCACGCACGCACGCACGCACGCACGCACGCACG